TTCCTTTATGTACAAAATTCTGATATGAATTAATTTTTATTAAAACCCGACACATAAGAGATGTGACTGCTTAAGTTCACTAATGTTTAAGATTTAGATGTGTGCAGTTTTCAAATGAATTAAAATTAGTATTGACTATTGAATCTCATAGATATATTAGGGGGCAGGAAGATAGATTTGTAATATAAAATATTTCCAGATTCATTTGAAATGGAAATATTGCTCTTACTTTTTTGGAAGCAAATTTGCTTTTAAGTTAAATTTTGCCCTTTTTTGTTAGTCATTAAATTCAATATTCTGCAGAACCCTGACAGTCACGTTTCATTTTAATGCCATGTCATACATACCACCAGAGAGTTCTAGTTTCTGCTTTTCAGAGCCTCTTCCAGAGCAGACCCAACATTCGGGTCTAGGGCTCCATCTAGTGGCTGAAGCATAACTGATGTGTGAGTATTATTTGCTTGTAGTGTATTTTAAAATTCCAGGGCACTTATTTTTCAGAAAATAGTGAGAATTCTATTTTCTTTTAGTTATTAGAAATACCTAAATTGTCTTCTAAAATGCAAATACACATCATTTAATATGCTACACAATTCTTTTGTTTTTGGTTATAGGTGGAAGCAATATATTTTATATTTATGTAGTGCTGAGGATCGAACCCAGTTTAAAATAAGGAAAACCCATAGGACATAGTAATGGATAGCATAGCTTTAAACACCTTTTGATTCAAATAAACTACACATTCACTTAAGCGTAGCATACACTATGTTGTGTAGAAGACAGTATATGAACAATGAACCTGCTGACATTAATGTGATGTGACTGATGAATTTCTAACATGCCTTAAACAATTTAGCATTCGCAGGTGTTAGTACATTAAAGGCATTTCAAACTCCTTGGTCACATCTTTATGTTATTATCTAAACTGCACATTAACAAAATATATTTGATTATTCTTATATTTAAATAGGCTCTCCTTGGCATTTCCTTTTTCCCCTTAAATTTCATTGCTAATACCTAGAAAATGGTTCCTCTTTCACATTTATACCAATTAAATTCCTAAGACCAAAATAAACAGATAACAGCTCAGGTCCTCTTAAAGCACAGTGGGATCAAGTGTTAGAAGCAAAAATTAATGCAACTGCCTCAGAGAAAGTTTCCCATTGCCATTTGCTCCTCTCCAATAGTGTGCGTGGCTTTCGAAAATCATCTGGTATAATCCCAAGCTCCACGTGAATTATTATTGGTTATACACAAGTAACTTACTCAATCCGCCCGAAGCAAAGGTAAGGCTGAGAAGATGTGCATTAAAGGCATGCAATCCAACCTGAATTTCTGTAGAACCAGTGTTGACTACATTTTGAACACTAAGTTATGAAATCATGCGTACAATTATAAATCAGAAGCCAGCACATGCTCACTTTGAACCAGTTACAGCAAATTAACAAAATTTCATTCTTTCTATTTAAAAATGTTACTTGACTGATAGTTCAGGAGACCACACCTGCATAGAATACAGTTGTCCCTTAGAATCTGAGGGGGACTGGTTTCCTGGAATCCCTAGCCCGAAGTACATATCAAAGCTCACAGATGCTCAAGGTCCATATATAAGATGTTGTCATATTTACATATAACGTACACACATCTTACTGTATAATTTAAATCATCTCTAGATTACATGTAAAACCTAACAAGGTGTGAATGCTACATTAATAGATGTTATATTGTATGTCTTAGGGAACAGTGACAAGGAAAGAAGACTGTATATGTTCAAACAGATGGGACTTTTATTCCCAAATATCTTTGATCCAATGTTAGTTGAATCTGCAGAGGTGGAAGCCTCAGATCCAAAGGGCCGACTATAACTTATCTCTCCGTTAAATAGATGAGTGGATTTGGCACATCTCGGTTTTGGACAGGAACTTCACAAGGACATTTTGATGTAGCTGTGAGATAGAGAAATGTGGGCTGGAAATAGGATAATTAGCTGTCAGTTAAAGGATTTAGACACACCTGGATAGGGTCTCTAGGATCATGTCTCAGGGCTTTTCCTTGAACCTGTCCTATTCCATTCATCCACCCTTTAACTTGCAAAGATGGAGAAACTGAAGGACAGTGCAGAAGTACTAAAAGCAAAAAGGGAGGGAGAGGTTTCGAATTATTTCAATTTATCAGAATAAAGTGCCCAACTCAGTACAATGGGTATAGAATAATTACTTCCCAGAATGGAAAAGGTGCTTGTAACCCTCACAACGAGTCTGTTCCGTATCTCCAGCTGGTGCTAATCACTTTAAAAGATATGGAACACACTGCTCCAAGAGAACCCGTCATTGGAGGGAAAGCTCCAACATAGTACAACACTGCCTGTTTAGGTCTCAAAGAAATCATTTATAGGCACAAGGGATTAACTAGATCTCGTTAGCAGCAGTAGTTGATTTGGATAGCTTACAGGCAGTGTCTACTGCTTAAAGACTTCACCTTACTTTTGAATATATTAAGAGAAAATCCATAAACAGGATCAGTTCTCTCAATGTGTGGTATGAAAACTTTCAGAGACACCGTGGTAAAGTCAGAGTACAGCTAGAAAAGCATGGCTGAGAGAACTAGGGGTGGGGGTGGGGGTGGCTTGGGGAAATGGAGATGGCAGTGGTCCACTGGAGTGTTCATGAAAGCCAGGGCCAGCAAGCTGGATTACAGTGCGATCACCCGAGGCACCCCATCCCCACCGAAGGTTCTGAAACCCAAATAGTGCCATGTGAGACAGTTCCACGCTGTCAGAGACGGGGACTCTGCTCTTAAATTTCACCCAACTTGTCCTGCAGACTAAGTTGACACTTGAAGTATATGATGGGAGGTGGAAAAATAAGTAGTGAGAAAAGATGCTTAAGCGAGAGCCATACTTGTGCAAAAGAGATCCAAGCAGCTGGAACACCAGGTTGCTGTGAGGATCAAATAAGAGAAAATACATGTCAGTGTTCAGAAAACCGCCTGGCAGCGACGGGCTCTGTCTGAGAGATGACAGGCAAGGGATTCCCCTAATTGGGATCACGCTGGACTGTGACATACAAAGTCCATCGTGACTCTCCACATCTATGACTTCATCCCATTAATAAGCCAAGCTAGTTAACTCAAGTTCAGCATTCAAGGTTGATGTTGCTTTGAATTGTGGTGCATATATGATGTCTCCTCTACCCTTACAGTGTATTTTAAAACCTGTAAGATGTACTCCTAAATAATGCCACAGAGTTAAATCATTTAATAGTACCAGATTAGAAATCGTCCTCTTTCACCGTTCATCACTTGGATAAAGTGGAGCAGAGGTGTCTGTGTGAAGATGAAGCTTATATATATATTCCAGAAAGCACACGGAGAATAACTCAAAGTATACGATGATTCACTGAGGATAGAACATTAAAAACACACACACACACAGAAATGACCCCATGAAAAGTGAGTAGTATGGCCTGATGACCCTATCTGCTCCGATGTGTGTTCACCATTTACTGATGGGAGAGAATCAGCTTATTTGACTTCAAAGTCTTTAAATTCATTCTTTGCCTTCATGATAAAGAAATTGATTTACAAATAGTACCAAAGAAACACATGAACGACTCTCCTGGGGAAACCCAGATCAACAGGAGAGGGAAGAATCTAGAAGGAAGTAGAAGCCGAAAAGGCTTGGGAAGCAAAGAGGAAACGTGGGAAGAGGCAATTTGAACAACGTGCTCCGTTAGCCGTCATTGAGGAATGTCAAAAGTAGATAAAGTGTTAGTTGAACAGAAGTAAACTCCAGATTCTATGATGCTCTCTGGACTTTGGGCAGCCTCCTGTGCCGTAACTTCACTGCAGACAATGGTTCAGAGTGACGACCCTTCAGTGCAGCTCTGGAAGGACAGAGCTAAGTCAAGGCCAGTTAGGCCCATTTACAATATTTTGCTACCTGTGCTGGGGAATGGTTGACATCACATGGTTACTTTACTGTCTGAGATGGGAACTATTTGCACAGCCACACCGGAATCTGTCGCACTTCAAGTTTCCAGTTAGAGGCAGATGCTGATTGCTGATGAGGACAGGAACTGGACGGGGCCTGCTTGTTTATTAAAAAAGTGTATGCATGCATTTCCCTGTTCCTTCTGCTCCTTTAAGCATCACACACTCCAGTCACCACTTTTCCTAGGACGGATGGTGTAACTGCAGGTCTTCCTCTAGTCTCTTGCCAGTGCCCCCACCCACCCACCCACTGGGGAATCCTGGGGGACCCACAAGCCCAGGAAGCCAGAGGGTGCTGGCTGAGGGGCACCCAAGGCAGAAGATGCATTGGTAGGGATCTAAGTGAAGACTCAAGAGCTCATTTCCTTGTCAGGTAGGTGGGTGAGCAAGAGGAGGATGGGCAAAGTCTGTCAATCACTTGTGATCTCAATTTATTCTCTCTAATCTGTGAATACTAAAAATCTCCTGAAATAAAAAGATACCAGTGAGAATCAAATAGAATTATGTGGACATGTTTTTAAAACTCCCCATAGACCTGTGTCTATTACATTCTCATTTTTTATTTTGTTTGCTATTTGAAGGAAAAGGATTAAAAAAAAAAAGTAGGAAAACACGATCAAAGGGTGGAGGTGGGTAAGAGGCCAGCTTGGAAAGACAATAATTTTGCTCAGCTTGTTGTTTGATGTGCCACAGGGACATTGTTAAACCTGATAAACTACATGCTGATTAAGTGGTGGTGTTGCTTGTAAGAAAGATGGCTAGATTACTATGTTCACACCATTTTAAAAGCCCTTGAGAAATGGAAGAAATCTCTCATTGTTTCTAAAGTGTACTGAGCCTTACACTTTTTTTTTTTTTCCAATTATGACAGAGAGACTGCATTCTGGCCAGAAGAAATGAAGTAAATTCAAGGTGTTACATATAAGGGGCAAGTACAAAATGCCACGGCAGCACACTGTGCCCTGTCGTGGAGCAACTGGCCCTCACAAGGGAAGCCCTGGGCGCTGTACCTGTATGTGTCCTCCGGTGAGCCTTCAGGTGAGAACTTTTTGTGTACACTTTGTTGCATCCCTCAAAATCACATCTGTGGATACGTCGTTTCCTGGAGTCTGGGGATTCGGACCGTCTCTGGCGTCTTGTGCTCTCAATACTAAATGGTGAAATTGAACTGGAAAAAGAAAAAGGGGTGTTACATGGTGAGAAGCACTGCACTCCATCTTGGGTCTGGTGGCCTGAGAACTGGTCTCAGACTCCACAGCCTCACAGGCTCCCTGCCACCACTGTCTTGGATGTGTCTTGTATCTTGTTTTCTAATCCCCAAAGGCAAGCACTGGAACTGATTTCTGGCAGAACACTCCCAGGAAGAGAAAGACACACTTAAAACAATACCAACAAGGAACTAAAACCCGAGTGAAGCATTGGGAGGAGAGTAATCTCCTCTTATCAGAAGGAACCATCTGGTGGTGGTAGATCAACACTCACAGCTCTGAACTTCTGAATACCCTTTCTAAGGAATATTTAAGGAAGCCCTGCTATAGACAATTGAGAAGATGAATGCATTTAATAAGTAACAGCAGGTCTGACCACATATAACACCGTGTAAAATCACAATGCACCTTTCAAAACAAGTGAGGTCAGGCTGAAAGAAATGACATCAGTACATCAATAACGTGACTCATGACAAGCTATTTCTGAGCAGTAAAGTGCACTGCCATTTAACTTTTCTAGTAGGTGCTTTTGCATGGTGAGGAATAAAGTGCACTATATGTATTTAAAGATTAGCTGTACTACTATTACGAACAAAAAGTTTTAACTATGAAGTTTGGCCCTGACTTGCGTGTTGTTTAATCTTAATGCCCCACTAGAAAAACAGGATTAGTTTGTAATGTCAGATAATTGATTAACATGTACCTTTTAAAAACCTTAATCTCTTTTGATGGAGAAATAAAGAATATGACTCATCTTTTTCAGTTACCCGTGAAGTGCCTTTAAATTATAGTGAAATATGATAAAAAAAGCAATCACCCATAATTCTACCATAACAATTTACCACGATTAATATTCTGACATATTTTCTTTCAGCTTTCCCATGTTTTGATGCCTTGAAAAATTAGTATTAAAAAAATCACAAATGAAGAACTCTCCCTCTTTTCTTTCACCATCCCTGATCCTTTCTTCTTCTCCCAGGGAAAAGCTCTATCATCAGTTTTCTTTACATCTTTCCAATTCTTTTAAATGACGTTACCTATCTACATCCGCATTCATAGAAATTCATAATATTGCTGTGGTTTTGTAAGAGTCACATAAATGTCATGCTGTTCACATCATTCTGCTACTTTTTTCTCTTCTTGCCCTGTTTTTCAATCAATATTAAACATCTGAGATTTATACAGGTAGGTACAAAGGCTGTAGTTCATTTATCTGAAGTGCTATGGACTACAACTTATTGAATCCCCTTTTCAAAAAATATTTTAACTTAAAGTTCTGAAATTAGAATGTTTCTTGGAATGATGGCTTGTTAAGGTTTAATGGGTATAATTTGTCTTTATTAATGGTACATAAAGTAATTGCTTTTTTCAATAGATGATATTTCAACTTAGGTCAAAAGTTGCTAAACTTTTTCTTTTATAAAGAGCTAAATAGTAAATAAATACTTTATTTCAACTTTAAGAACCAAAAGGTCTTTCGCTTAATTAATCATCTCTGAAACTGCATCATGAAAGCAGCTATAGACACTGTAAGCAAAGAAACATGGTTCCAATAAAACTTTATGTTCAAAAACAACGGGCTGTATTTGGGTTCTAATTTGCTAACTACTGACTTTATGACATATGGTAGCAATCCAATTAAAAACTCATCCCAGAGTTTAAATATCCAATTTTCTGACTGATGGCCATGTAGACTGTTTCTAACATTATCCTGTTACACTGCTCTGGTATTCCCCCTCCCCCCTTTTTAAAAAATGTCTCCTATACATGTGCCTTTTATATTTTCCATGTAGATTTCCCCTTCTACAAATAAAAACTGAGGCCACCAAAGTTTTGTATTTGGAACTTCAAATACTAATGATGTTCTTCTACCTGGGCCTCAAACAGTTCTGGAGAGACATTTGTCTCTACTTTACCTTTCAGAACTACTTACTTGATCTCTTTGTGGAAAAGTAACAAGGTAAGTGGGAATGAGGAAAAAGGGAACCAAAGGTGAAGTCAAAGACCTTGAGAAACCCAAGAAGAGGAGTGGGCAATCCCAACCAGTGAGGACTGCTATTGCCCTGAGGTCCACAGCAGAATTCCACAGTTAACAGGGACCACAGGTGATGACAATCATGGATTGGGGGTTTGGCTGAGCCAAGTCCAGTGTCATGACAGTCAAGATACTGCTACCAAGTAATTTTGTATCTCTAGAGCCAATGAACGTGGGCATTCAAGAAATGCTTGCTACGTAGAATGAATAATTAATACTTATCTGCTTAATGAATCAATACTACCATCCTTTGATGAAAAATAAGTCTGATAGTGGGCACTATGGGTGTTTCTATTCTGTGCTTCCTATGTTTTCTGAGCACTGTGATCTCTCTTTAGAAGGCACCTGAGTGTCTTCTGCAACATGTCTTCTGCGCTTCAAAAACTGAACTTGTTCTACAGGGTGGAAGTGAGCAAGTAACTATTGCATACGCCCGTGTAAGATCCTTCCACTAATCTTCAGTGCCAATCTTGGTATGATCAAAATGGTTGAGGTAAAATCGTTGTCCCTGTATTCCCAAACTTTGTGCCAAAAATATCTATACAGTTTAGAAGAACATTAACTAGAGGTCCACTCCTTTCCCCCAAAGACTAGCCCATTTAGAGCAGCAAAGGAGTGCTGGGGGTGGCCTCATGGGCTCCACACTGCAATAATTAGATCTAGAGAGAACAAATGAGTGAATCAGGACTTCGGCTGCACAACAGTCCCGCTCGGAATGGCACGTTAAATTAGAATTAAACCCAGAGAGGCTCGAAAAGTCACATCCAGAAACGGCTCTATTTAAATAGAAGGCGCCGCATGGCTGCGATGGAGGAAATGAGGGTTAACTGTAATCAGCAGGTAATAAGAGACCATTTGTCACGGGTGACCTTAATGTGCCGAGATGCCCTTCACTGAAATTGGAGATCTTATAGGAGTTAAAAAAATAATAATAATAAAAAGGACAGGGCATCCTTTCAAGGCAAGGAAGAGGACACACACACATTGAAGCTTTAAAAATAAGAGAAGAAAACACAGGAATTGAAGTTGCTTTATCAAAGTCAAACATGATCTCTGCAGAACTCCAGGTAGCACAGCCAAGGACAATGGTGATGGTGGGCATCTGCAGAATGTTAGTATGTTAACAAGTTCTGTTCTAGGAACTTTCAGCTTCAAAGCCACCCTCTAGGCTGAGAGCATCAGCAGTGTGATCTTACGGATGAAGACACAGAGGCAAAGGGAAGGGTAGGGCAAGTTGGTGGCTATGGCAAGATTTGGACCAAGTAGTTGATGCCTGAGCTCAATTTTAACATTATACTGATTCAGATATAGACCTGATAAACCAGCATAGGACAGAATATGGGAAACCAAGAAAATAATTGGTATCACTTAAATTTCTCCTCTAACCCAATTAAATAAGACAACAGCACGTACAAAGCATTCTTTAAAGTAGCCTGCTCAGGGCTGGAGTCGTGGCTCAGTGGTAGAGCGCTTGCCTGGCATGTGTGAGGCAGTAGGCTTGATCCACAGCACCACATAAAAATAAGTAAGTAAAATAAAGGTATTGTGTCCATCTACAACTAAAAAAAAAAAAAAGAAAAAAGGTAGCCTGCTTTTAAATAAGAAAGACATTTTTAATTTGAGAAAATTAGGGTAAACTGTTTTATAAACACTATTAGGCGCTCAGTATATTTATTATTATTCTACCTATGAAAAATACTTTCTTACAGTTATTGTAAAGCATATATTTACTCTCAGGAAAGTGTTTTTCTAAAGGTTGAGGCTGGCACCGGCATACCATGGAATTAGTTCCTTCCTGCCATTGCAGTTCACCTACAATTCTACCAAAAAAGAATTCTGCACAACAAAAGTGTCTTAAAGAAAGTGGGAATATTGTTTTTAAAAATGTATATTTTCTCCTGTTTTCAAAGCTGATTTAAAAACTCTTTAAGTATCACCTGTAGAAATTCTGAATTAGCTTCTGCCATAGAATACATGTAAGTAGAACAACTGCCTTATAAGTAAATCAAATACTACCTTGGGAATGAACTATCAGGGCCATAGTTAAACAAGACAGGATAAAACTTACAGTTATCCAGGAATTACATCAATCTCAGAAAAAGGATCATGGACAAGCAAAGTATCTGCATTAGCTTGCAGGATTTCCCTTAGCCAGCAGGTGGCTCTTAGATGCCAGAATCTTCATAATCATCCTTTATAGAATAGAATCTGCCCCATCAATCCATGTCCATGTATTTTTCTCTGATATTAATTAGGAAAAGGTGCTATTTAGATATGCCCACTGCCAATTTCCTGGCAGTTACATCCCAAAGCTGGAAAGATTCACCCATGTAATATTCTTTCATTCCTGTCTGTAGTTTCCTATAGAAAACTTCTATTGAACAGACTACAATTCTGAGATTTGTAGTTATCACTCTTTCTAGAAGCTTTAGTTAAGACATTATATGACTTCTTGTTTCTATTTGTACTCAATAAAAATATTTTCATAAAATGGTATGAATCAAGAGCAATACATTTTCTAATATATGTTTAAAAACTCAAAATCAGCCTATATTCAAACTATAGTTTGGTACTTTTTACATATGAAAAGAGTATGCCCAAAATGTATTTCTAATTATTGTTTTATTGTAATAAACAAAATCTATAATGGGTTTACAAATGAGGCTGTTTGGGAGGTTAAAGAAGGCTGGGGATGAATTCATTATTTTATATATTAAAAAAAGCTGCCATTAAGTATCATTAAGTATTTCTCCACATCCCCTTCTAAATCATGACAAAAACTCAAAACTATTATAGGCATATATTCTTGTTCTTTTATTTTTATTTTTATTTTTTATTGGTTGTTCAAAACATTACAAAGCTCTTGACATATCATATTTCATACATTAGATTCAAGTGGGTTATGAACTCCCATTTTACCCCATT